TTATGTAGTTTTATGTGACTTACCATGTTCTTGTGGAGTAGTGGACAGCTCTACCCAATACTGAAAAGTGAAAAAAAGGCAATCAGTCTACTTTTATTTACACTTACATCATAACTTTTTTTTCAAATTACACACCTCATCTTCTTCTATTTTAGCCTGACACTGAAGCATATTTGCTAGGCCACGCCATTCAGTTTGTTGACTTTTTGGATTTAAAAAAATAATTCTTTACATACAGTACCATAAATTAATGTTAGTGAAGTTATAAAATCATATCTGTTAAAGTTATTCTGTTTAAATAAATTTGAAGGCTACTATGAAATTGTGTTTAGTTGATGGCTTTTATTTTAATAGCACTCATCCCATATCAGAACATCATGAGTACTTACATACTAGTATTAGAGTATGGAATAATTACACAACTTTACTATATACCTTACTATTACTTTACATGTTTAAAGTTAAAACTTTTGATCCAACACAAAAATTCTCTCACCTAGAGCTTTCAACCAGTCACTCTGGTCTTCCTCAGTAGACTTTGTGTTGGATCAAAAGTTTTAACTTTAAACATGTACTAGTAACTACCAACACAGATGAACTTTCATGATAGTATTACTTTACATCATCAAAGTTCACTAATTTTCGATTTCAAAACAAATGTTTGAATCTAACCTCCCTGCTACCTAATAGTACTGTATAACCCCAATACCAAAGAATTGGTAGCCAAATGGCTACTTCATTGTGCTAAATGTTAATCATTGTTTGCTTCAAGCACACAACCTGTACCCCAGAAAAGATAAGATTAACCAACATTGTTTACAGGAGATCGGAAGCCATACAAACAGGATACAGTCTGGAGTAAAAATGTGAAGAATGTACCCCCAGGGGACTGAACCGGGAAGCTGTCTAGATCTTAGGTCTTTTTGTTTGTTTGTTTAAATTAGCAGGGTTCTCACCAGGATTTTTTCACAGCGTAGGGGTCAGGTATAGAAGGGCAACTTTCTGCGGCGCTAGTCGCGCACCGAGTCCCAAAAACATGGGTCTGATATTCTCCCCAAAAAATTTTGTAACTCATATTAACCACTTAAGACACTGTTTATTGTTTATTGGAGACAGATTTTGTTCTCCCTTTGTTACAGCTTCATTCCTAAGACCCTGTTCACAGTGAAAAAATGGATCTGGATTGACTGCCGATCCCGATCAGAAATTCATCAATCCCGATCGACCCGCGCGTTCACACCGCTTTTTGCTGATCCGGATTGCCAGGGCATCACGCTCAGAAATGGATTGAGGTGTCACGAGCCCGCCATCTTGA